TCGACCAAATATGTGAATTTGCTGGACTAAAGTGGGTAAAAAACTAAGGCAACCAATCAAATTACGCGAAAAACACGTAGAAATACAGAATATTAACTTTCGCCATCAGGCCCAAAGATGTTCGATAGTAGACCAACGAATTAAATAAATTGTAGCCTCGACTATTAGGTCGACGCTATTCAAAACTAGATGCTTGATTCAGTTGATCAATTAATGAATTTGTTTATGTACGCTTCATTTTGGGCATAAGAACCCTCTTTTAAATAGCATAATAGACAATTAAATGGCAGCTTATGTTTTCCACAAAACATTTTAGAAATTTCAGGGTTCCCTTCTTTCGTATGCAATGCTAGAAGAAATGGATAGTGCTACGAAACTCTGCCTCCGGTTCGTAACGGACTCTAGTGCTGATGGGTAATAATGAGCAAACGCATCGCAAACAGTACAGGTTTTAACAATAACCGCGCAATACGATGCATATAATTCCTGCAACTTTCTAACTAGGTTTGCCTAATCCTTATATGCTATCAATCACAACAGGTCCTATTCCCGATCGAAAAAAACATTCATATAGTGGTATTGATATAAAAAAGGTGATTAATTATGAAGCCTGACTTGACCAATAGCGAGAGGTAGGACACTTCAAATCCTATTAGGTAGCTTCCCAGAAGCAAGACTAATAGTAGGTGACGAAGGTACACAAGCAGTTGGTTTCAAAGAAACATTCTATAGTAAGCTGATATATCCTTGGGTTCAGCACTTGAGCATACGCATGCAACCCAATCTAACTCAGTCGCTTGCCACAGCGAGCGCACCAGTCACTGGCGCACAACAGCTTAATCGACCGTAACATGTGAGGGCGCGGTAAGCCACTTGACACAGGGTAAAAGTTAAGAACTGGCAAAATGCATGAACACTACTGGAAGGCAGGACGACCACTCCTCTGAAAATGGAAAAACTTGGAAAACAAGACACTTTACCCTCGTATGTCTAGTTGTAGGCATCCGGTGAATTCGAAATCGATTGCTTAGGGAATTCTGTTTGAGTAGTCACCTTTCCGTATCAGAATTTATGGATTTCGTGGGTTGCACTGGATGGACAGGTAAATTGACCCAAGTTTGATTAAAATCATGGCTTTCGCTTAAATCTCATTACTCAAGTAGGTAGAGCATTGACTGTACTAAAGCCTTGCCCATACTGTCGTTGGTTCCAATCCCATCGAGGATGCCACGTTTTAAAGAAGTGGGCCAGAGGAATAATTCAAATCTGCTAAATCTGACAGTCTGGCACAGAACTGGGAAACCATTGATATGTATGATATAACCTTGATTCCTAACCTTTCTCAGGAAAGTCAAAAGCTTTATACTTCGAGGATATATTAACACTGAAAAGAGAACACCTTAAAATCTACCTAGAGGATGACAAACGCTTTATTCGCTGAGTACACAACGAGGAATCAGAACATAGAGATAATAGGTTCCCAGTGACTCACTTCGACCACGGAGAAACTTTATCGTACAAGTGAATAAGTTAACAGCCTCTCCAGTTTCACGATCAGTGATTTTTTCATATTGCTTTCTAAATCGGTGTCAGGAAGAAAAACTTCAGAGTTGTGAAAAGTTCATGATCGCCTTCTAGTCCACCGGTATTCACGAGGTCGTAACACCCAAGAAGGCATTCAACAATTAATTATGACAGACCCTGGGCACGCATATTCGCTTCTATTTATGACAGACCCATCAAACGAAAAATTAACGTTCCTGAAGTAGTAAGGACTTATTTGTGACAAATCAAAAATGATGAGAACGTGAAAGATTGAAGATCCGTGTTCGGGAACTAGAAGATCTTTTAAGGCTAAATTGATGCAAAAGTGGTTAGTTAACCAGATCGATCAAACGCAATGAATAGAATGACATATCGCCAGTTATTCGCGATTATAAGGACTCCAATAAAAATACAAAGGACTACACCATCTCCACGTGATTCAGGTAAAAAGGGGGACAAAGAGATATTGGAAATAAAAAACGAGACCTACCTTCACACCAGCTATCTCGATTAGGAACATTGCAGCGCCAAGAACATGGCCGGCATGGTATGCCGAAAATTTGATACCATTTACTTCGAGTTCTTGGTGAAAATCAATGGTATCGATTTTATCGAGACTCAGAACGATATCTCTATCAGTATAAAGCGCTTGGTCGGTAACACCCGAATTACTACGCAGAAGAATAAACAT